TATTAATAACTATTAATAAACTTTATTGTTCCATATGCATTAAGGATAAGGATCTCTCATAGTAATTGGACAAACATGCTGCATTGTAATATTCCTACTAAAAGAAAACTGAAGGAAAACTTCCCCTATGGGAGTTTGCCACAAATATTATGGGTGTTAGGTTTCATCTGTTCTCCATGAGATACCACAGCTTTTTTAAGAACCAGGGAAGTTATAAAATTAAAGCAATAATTCTTCTGAGTGGGTCGAAGAGAGGTTAATGGAATACAATTGAGACTGGCTCTCGTTAAAAAGGTGTCTGCTCAACTGTATCATCAAGATCCACAGTGAGGCACACATGTGAAACCAAAATTAACTTGTAGGCCTGAGTCTGCAGTGTTGCCAGACATCTGTATAATCTTACACTAGCAGTAGCAATGACTGAGACCTATTCAAAGCTGTCATTGTGACTCTCTGGCTTGGAGGTTGCTAAAGGATCTCTATCTAAAATCACTAAAGCCTTCCCCAAGTTCTCTGGTGTCATACAAACGACCATCTGAGTGGCTTTGTTGAAATGAAATGAAACAAAACAAATGAGATCAGGGGTTTGTAGGCTGAAGGACACTTGTACAACTCTGCAAAGGAACTTCCCAATCGTGGCCATATTATTGTAGATCATTTTTATTATTCAGGTCTCCAACCTGAACTCTCAGTTAATAACTTAAATTCCACAGATGAAACTTCAGGGCTGCCCTATTGATATTTTCTACTCAGAGATGAATGTGTCTGTAGCAAAATGCATGAGAATTTCTGAGTTCCATCCTGCAGTGCACAGGATGCAAAAAATCAGACTGGGCAACTTGACTCCTGCTGAGGGTTTTGATACTGATTTGAGCTGGTCAACATTTCCCACCATTCCTACCACTGTCATAGGCATAGAAGCTTTATCTTCTCCAGGCAACTCTATGTAGGTAACTCTCTCCTTCAAGTAGAGAGTTTAGAGTATACCCTGTTAAGACTCAAAGTCATCAGGACCATTTACTAGCATTTAGCATATACTAATATTTATTAATACCAGTATTTACTAATACTGTTTTGTGAAGTAAGGCATGTGCTTAAGCGTCTCCTGTGTTGGTGTCAAAGAAGCATAGAACACTGAGCCAGAGCTCTGGATGGAGTCATCTTGAGTGTACTAACCTCTCTGGATCTTATATTGTGTTCTTATATTGTGAGAAACAAAAAGGTAACTCAAGGTTGCTGAATCATTTTGTCAAGGAATAACAGGAATTTGAAGTTTTATCTGAAAATGAAGAGTTAAAATTTTACTAATTGCTTGAGGAAGTGGCAGTGAAAGTACTAAGGGTGTCTTTATTTACATACAAGTCCAACTTATTATTGTTATAACAAGAAATCACATATCAAACACCTGATATAAAAGCATTTGATGGTCTTCATATTTTTCTTTCAAATATTGATTTTTTTAAACCCATTAGTTACACTTATTATATTAAGACAAAAAGAAAAAAAAAACTGCTACTACCAGCTTGTAGATGAAGCTTAAAATTGATGCTCACAAACAAAAACCAGTCCTTTGAAGCTTGAGATCTAGCCTCAAGCTTGCTCTTTGATCTTGGTGTCTAAAAGAACATAGAAATCGCTTTATCATGTGTTTTCTCACCTGGCTGATCCAGGCTTTGTTGAATTTTTCGTTCATTGTATGTAAGAGAGTAAGGATTGAGATGCTTTGTTTTGGAGTAGGTAAACATTGAATTTGTTTTTTATGTTAAAGGGGTACCTAAGAAGTTGCATATGCCTATTTGTTCCCAATTCCATAATTATGTTGGTGTATGAAATCCTTAAAACACACGCATGGGCAGAATTCAACTGTAATGTATTTTCTAGGACAAGTTATCTTTCATTATTCTGAGTTGTGCATGTGCTTTCAGTGTAGTGCTTCCTGCCTTTGTGGCAGCTGTATTATTTCTAAATAAGTGTGATGTTAGTCATTGAAGAGAGAAGTCTTGCTATGGAGGTGTAGGAAATAACCTTGCAGTAAACAAGAACTCTGAATCTATGCAAGCAATAGGCCTGCGCTGCTGTCTCTTAAAAATATGGATGAGTTGCCCAGGTCTGTCTTTTATGATGCTGCTGCTGTTAGTATTACTATTTGGAAAATGCTTATTCCACTAGTCAGAATAACCTCTGTAGTGGTTGCTTGAGCAAGGTTTTATAGCTCATTAATCAAGATATTAAACAATAGACCTTAACAAACTCCATAACCAGGTTTTATAGGCGCTTCCCTTATAGTCATGTTGTTATTCAGACAAGACTGTAAAGCATATTTCAGAATTCTATGGTGCATCTATAGTTATTCATAATTCAGAAACCTTCATTATTCCCTGCTTAAGCAGGGAGGTTAGACTAGATGCTCTCCTGAGGTACCTTCCAACTTCAACTGTTGTGTGATTTGGGGATTGTCAGTTAGGGAGATTGCCACAGGCAACACTGAAAGAAAGAGTGGCAGATAAAGGAAAGGCAGGGAAAGTAACTGAGAACTTCTAAGTGATGGGGTATCTAGTGAGGAAACCAGGTCTTGTTTATATGGACTTTTGGGTGTTGCTGATGTAAGGCTTTCCCTCAGAAAGAGGGACAGTGAAGCAGCTTAAGGGCACTGCTTGTGAGAGCAGCTATCATTCCGCAGCTCTGTGCTCTCCAGTGCCAACTGTCCTGCTGCGCAGAGGCTCTTAGGAACTTGCTGCCAAAATTGGAGTTACTTACAAAGACTGTTAACGGAAGGACTGTTTTGGCAAGTGTTGTTCTCCAAGAAGCAGAATAGGTACCTCTGAGGATAAATTGTTAAGTTAGACTTTCTAAGATGAGGTGTAGTCACACAAGAAGGGTTTGAGAACCGTGGTTAACACAGTGTAACAACTACAACACTACTTTTAAGAGGTAATGAGTGACCGAAAGGATGTAGGGAGTCTTGAAGCCCTACGTGATGGACTATCCACCCAGATCCTTCCTTGTGCAAGTATGGCACAGTCAGACCGGTGCCACTCTCTTGTCTCTATGCTGCACAGCCTATTGTCAAACTGTGCATTAGCTGCAGTGGAAATGGTTTATAAGTCCCTGATAGAGCTGATGGAGAAACAAGTAATCTCTTTCTTGCTCAAGTCATTTCTCTTACTGAATCTGAGGGGGAAACGTTTGGGAGATCCACTTTTTCTATGTATCTAATTGCATCATGTAAAGGATTAAAGGGGATCCTTTGTATTTTACTGCAGTATGGAGCAGGGAA